TATTAAGTAAGGACTTGTGTCGCTAAAGTTTCGTCGGAACGAAGTTACGGAAAGTTAATTAACAAACGGAGACGTAACAATATATATATATATATAACAGTAAGTTTTCAGTTTCTCTTTAAGAGAACAAGAAATCTTCCAGAATTACTATATCAACCGCACACACATATTTGCACAACTTTATCAAATATCATAATCCAGTTTATTACATTCTGTACGATTTATACGAATGTTGTGTTAGACACGACTGCAAGTGAAGGTTTTTAGAACCTCTTCCATTGGTTAAAGTGGTTTCGAAAAGGTACCGGTATTCCCGCATTTAGAAGGGGGTGGATTTCTTTTTGACCTGATATGAAACGTTATAGTTACAAAAGCACCAGAACCAAAGGTATTTTCCTGCGAAATCAAATAGGTGCGAGTAGGGTGTTTTGCAGTATTATATCTTTTTTTTTTTTTTCTGAAATATCGTACTGTCATTTCATTTCTTACTGGTATGTATACCGCCTCATTGTCGTCTCTTCTACTTTATTAAGTTAACTCAAAAGTATTTTCTTCGATTTAAGTTATATGAATGGTGAAGTTTGATGGCAGTACTGCTCTCAAAACTAGTATGACCGAAATAACCGTATAATTTTAATAAAACGTACAAGTACTGAAGCAAATAATTGTTAAAACTCTCACCAGACACACTTGAATATATTACACAGTCTTGTAGATGTCACTATATCAAATCATAAAATTCACACACTAATGCATGTTTTCGATGAAATAATTCATAACGTAAAATTGCAACTTACATAGCATTTATGTAATTTTATTCAGTCTTCCCAATATCTTGTTTGAAGCGCCATCACTCTTAGTATTTCAAAATATTGTCATTACTTACTGTATAATAAGACAAGGCTATCCAGGACGAGTTGAGCTTCTGACACAAATTATTTAGTTTCTCGTCCCTTTACATCCGGGCCTTTATTAAAATTAGCGTTTTCCTATTGGTTTGCTTACCGGGCGACCAACATAACTCTTTTTACTTTGTAGCAACGTAAAGTGTAATGCTATTGGACAAACGCGCGAGCGCTTTATGATTGAAATTATTGATATTTGAAAAGTGCTTTAAACAGTAAAAGTTCCACAAATAAAGAAAATAAAAAAAGAGTATATTATTTATGAATGAAGCGTTAGATTTTTTTAAATACTGAGAGTTAAAAGATAAAAATAATAAATTACCATATTTTGTTAGTCTTGAAGCTAGCCAATCAGGGCGGTCTTAACATAACCAAAGCTGACATCAACACGATGTACAATGTAAGCGACAAAAGCGACTCAAACTTAGAAAATCACGAATCAATGGAGTCTGGTATCTTTGATTGTAGAATGTAAGTACAAATTGAGTAGATGGCGTCATATGATTTTTTTTTTAATTTTTTAATGCTGAAATTGTAAATAGTAAAAATACTTCGTTGGTGGGTTGATTGTCAAATATCACCATCCAGTAGAAACGATCACGAATTTGATATCTGATAACTCCTGAAAATGGCGTTCAAAGAAAAGTTAGCATGGTTCATTGTTCTCACGAGTTTAACTCGAAAATATTTTTTGAGAATATTTAATGGTTTTAAGTGTATTATGATTTTGTTTGATGAAATTTTCACTTTTTAGAAACCCAAATTATATATATATAGTTTGCATACATAATCATCTTGACAGAGATACCACATGTCATAAGGCAAATGACCTGATGCTGTACTGTAGCCTGTAGGGGCTTCTTTCTGGGGTAGGGGTATTCATGCCAAAGTTTGACGGTTGTAGTATTGCAGAATAGGCCTAATATTAAGCCTAATGTGAATTCTATTGCATGAACTTTGAGGAAAACTATTGCTAAGACTAAGAGTAACATAACTAAAATAATTATTTCAATTGTTCACGTCTGGCAGAAATTTAGGTTTTTATTAAGAAAGGTAATAGGAAATTTTCATTATATATCTAGTGTGATAGTATTATTATTAATTTAATGTCTTGAATTTGAAAATGTAGACTACAAAAGTGTAAATATGATGTAGAAATGCACAATGTGATAAGTATGCCTTGTAGTTATATTTCTCAAAATGATAAAATATACATAATCAATAGATGGTACTATATATTTTGTAGCTATCCTAACTTTGTTTCAAGTAACCTGCCTTGACCTGATAGTGATCTATGGCTTTAGAACATGAAGTCAATATTAGTGTATTATACAAAAATATGATTAAGTTATAATTACACACACACACATTTATGTTACAACTTAAATAAAAGTATATGACTTGCAAACTTGTTATTACAATATTCATATTGTGAATGCTAAGCTTTTGTGAGTGGAACATGACCTACTCTTTTGATAACAGTCTGTTTGTAATAGATTTAGGCTAATTTTTCATGTGTAAATTAATTTTTGCATATTTTAGGATTTAAGTTTTCATTCACATATGGTGCTGTCTTCATTCAGAAGGTTGGCAGGGTTATTTCTCTCCAGTTTTCTTGTTCTTTGCATTACTATTTGTGTAATTACTTTTTAAATCTCGATCATTTATTAATATCACCCATTCATCTCCTCCTTGTCTTTTTTACATGCTTGGCAAACTTGCACCTTACTTTTTTTGGTTGATATTAAAAGCAATATTTGACACTCCCACATTTTCTTTATTACTACTTTCCTATTTACCTTGTCTTTCCAGAGTTCGGGTTTTTGTGTGTCTAAAATATACTACTGAATAAATATATCATCTCAAATTCCATTCTTAACTTGTATGTCTACCTTGTATCTTGACATCCCATTATTGGTTCAGAATGCATTTTTGCCATCGTAATTCTTGTTTTTATTTTTCCTAAATATTTTCATTGTTATTCAAATTACTAATTAGCTCTATGTCTTTAATTGCTCAAGTTTTTTCATATGAATATTGTATTTTGAATAACCATCATTTTCTTATTTAGATGCATTTGAAATAGATATTGACATTTGATTGTTCAATGAAGTGTTCATTCTTTGCCTGTATCAGGCATGGTAAGTTCAACATGGTGATAAACTTATCATGCCCGAGATGGGCAAAGAATGAAAACATCATTAATCATTTTCTTAATGGCTAACAACTAGTAGTGGGCAACCAGAAATGCCACTTTAGGTTAAACAAACTATCCCCAGGACTCTGTGTAGTTGTTCATGCTTTGCTGTATGCCATTGAATTTCTGACAAATTCCTCTACCATCTGCTGTGAGGAACCAATTCAGCAATATTTCAGATGAAGACACCTGTTGACAAATAATTGACTATTACATTGCACTAGAAGTGGGCAATCAGTGGAATTTGCTATTTGATTAATTGTTGCGCTTATTAATCAATTATGTTCAACTAATCGATTATTTCCATGAGATGTCAAAAACACTTGAGTATTGAAAGTTGAAAGTTTTTTTTTGTTAAAACTTTGTTGGATCAGTTGTTTTTCATACCCTACCATTAAATGTAGTTAAATTACCAATGTACAGTAAAATTAAATTTTGAAAATTATGAAATAAATGTGTTTCTTTTTCCTCTTTTTGCAGACATCATTTTAGAAGATATATAATTTATTTTACTCACAATTTTAGCTGTTTACTTTTTCGTGTATGTTTAATTTTATAGTTTTATACTCTTATGAGTAGCGAACTAGGCCTAGCTTGTTTTCTCTACGTTTGTTATCAAAACAAAAAATTGCATACTTTTCAAATTTTCATTTGAGACAATAAATAATACATAATTCATTAAAATAATCTGACCAAAACAACTGTAATTTAAATGTTTTTCTAACTAAGCTATAAATATGTTTAGAAAAAACAATGTTATGAGCATCAGTTTCCATTACGGATATCAATCACTTCCCTTGAACTAATACGTGGTGCTTCCAAATATGAAAGGATAGTTGTAAGCTTGAAATAAAAAAATAATTTCTGTTGTTTATAAACACGTTATATAAAGTTTTGAAAACTATCTTGAAAGTTAAGAATAGATGTATGGGAAAATTGATATCTCAGCAAATTAAAAAGTTAGGGTGTTGAAACTCTACATTTTACTTTGTTATTATTTATAGATTATGTAAACATTACTTAGGTAGTATGGATGCTACACTATTAAAGTTATAAAACTAAAAGAGAAGAATTGATAATGCTTGTATGTCATGTGACACAATGAAAGTGAATATTGAGAACATTTTCTTTTGAAATTAAGAAATTAAAACTTGAATAATATAAAAAGTTGAATTATAAACTACATTCTGATGGTAATTTTATTTACATACATGACAAATAAAATTTAATGAAATGTTGAATGTAAATGTAAAATGTTGAGACATTCAAAACAGTCAAGCCCTTATTAAAGGGCTAAGAAGAAAATTGGGGATTTCCAGAAAAATAGTTGGTTTAAATTTTTGCTTTTCTCAAGGGTGTGTGTGGAAGTACAGCCTTGAAAGACCTAGTGGTCTTTTGTTTGTAGGTTATGTAATAAAATCAACAATAACAACTGCTCTAAAATGAGTTGTGGTTGTGTCACTGCTGTCAATTAAGATTTATGTAATTGTAGATTTATTACTGAAAATATTGTTAACAGTTAGGATACCCAACTGATGAAACAATGCATTCTAGGAATTATAAGTAAAGATGTTAGAAAAGTATATCTAATTGGTTATACTTATTACCAGCTTGAGTTTGTTTTACTCTTAAGTAAGTAGATTGTGTGGTTGGTAGTTAATATTAATTCAGTTATATTTAATATTAATAATGTACATTACTTCCTAACATTTATAAAATGAGTTTCGTTTATAGAAATGTTACTTAGTACATGAAAAGGGTAAAAAATGTATTAATTGTAGTACCTTAAAGCTGTTACTGATTTCTGAGTAAACACTGATATGAAACACATTTACAGTTTGAGGTGGATGTTAGATATGTGTATGTAGTATAAATTACAAATTGGCTTAACCCGTTTTAACAACAGCCTAGCTCATGGGTGATGCATGTTTTTTTACTTTTGTAGAAACTTCAGTTATGCAACTGGTGATGAAATGGGAGAGTGCTGTCAGACTTATTTGCATGAGTGTCACATCTGATTAGGGCAGGCTTCATAACTATAGAATTTACAGTCAAAAGAAACCAAACATTAATTAGATTATCAAATTGCTTGTTTATAAAGTGATTAGCTGTCACTTGTTGCACCTTTTGTAAGTTTGTTCAAACTTGTTATTATTGCTTAATGATCATGCATATTTATTTGAAAGATTTCAAAGCTTCACCCTTTGAATTTGACACCCAAGGCTATTTCACCCCAAATTCTGCAGAACCCTGTATAATAACTGTATGTTACAATTAAATTTAGTTAATGGGATTTTAATAATACACTTCATTGTTGCTTGCACATTATTCTTATATGATAAATCCAAAAATGATTTCTAATCCAATCTTAAGTATGGAATCTAATGACCTGGTTAATATGTTCTCTTGTAACATAACCTCAATGTACTTGAAAATGCTGCTTCTGATTGTGAAACTTTTTGCAATAAAGTTATCAAACGTTCCACTCCTCTTTTACATCGTAATTTAATTACTGCTTTTTACATAATTTGTGGGTATTGGTCATTTCCCCATCTTGGAAGGATGCTAACATTTAATATCATGAAATAACAGAAAATTAGTAGTTAAAGTAGTAAGTACTGAATTGCTACACAGGCCCCATAAAACCCCATATTTTACCATAGTTGCTAATATTGGTTTATATGGTTTAAAATATAAGAAATTTAGTGCAGCATACTAAAGACAAATTTATGTTTCCATATTTTGTAAATGTCCTAAAGACTTCAGATTTGGTACACATGACTAACTACACAGCAAAATTAAAAGCAAATATTTACTGTTGTAATTACATTTTTGAATTATAACTTGAAAGATAATGGATTGGAATTATAATGTGATACGTTTTCATTCTGTGTGACCAACTTTGAGTCTGTGGCTATGAGTTAAAAGACTCAAAGCCTCATACTAGGTGGCTGTAAGATTCTAATGATTCATGAAATAATTGATTTTTTTCATTAAATCTTGTGTTGCACCACAGATAGCATATGTATTGGTATGGAAGTATTTTTACATAATTTTATTCAACATTTTCAATTTTATTACATTAGTATTTTTCTTTGATAATTTTAATGTCTCAGATAATGTGAATTTACAGCTTTTAACAATCACATTGCATTGTTTTTTTCTGTTCAGTGTACTTCTTCACAGTCTGTCTATTCCCCTAACAATGTGATATGGGGTGACCTTACTCCCCTTGATTATTTAGACTAAAACTAAATATGTCACATGGTCATTT